TTCAAACATTTGCTTCTAGTAATATGTTTGAGCAACTTAATACTTTGGAATTATCTATTCAATTATATAAGAAGAATGTAATTGACTTTTTTAATCTGGTTGAACTATTAATTTATTTTTTACCAGATTATCAAGGACAAATTAGAACAGTTTATAAAGATCTTGAAAACATTCAAGAGAAATTACTTAATATGCTTAATTCAAACGAAATTACTCAGTTCCAAATTCAATTACTCTGTAAATTCTTCATAAATTACGCCAAGCAAAAAAAAAATCATGTACAAAAGGCAATTAAATCTTATATTCAAGATAAATTATATAACTCGCCAAAGTGGAGAAATGAAATATTCAAATGAGAATAATATCCGCATTGAAGCTATGATCAAATCAAGTATTTTTGACTAGTGTAATATACGCAACGAATTAGTGTTCAAATTGCCTCTTCCAACTTTAAATATCGATGAAATAATTGAAATTTCAAATAGGAAGAAAATTACGTATTTTGAATGTTGTTTGGAATTACGGAATTCTATTGATGAAATCACCACATTTCAATACTATAAGAATTTTTTCAAATTTAATTTTAAGAGTGAAATGGCATTAGATTTCACAAAAAAAGTATTAAGTATAATTTGGGAGGGATCGGATGGTTCGTATTATATTACAATTGAAAATCTGGAAGAATTATGCGAAAAATTAAATCGAGATGAAGGAGAAAAGGTTTTTTCTCTTATCATAAAATGGTATAATTATATGTATTGCATTAAAAACTATGATTTTGAAGATGAAGAAATGAAAATTACAATCAAAATTGTTAAAAATGCAAAATATGTTATTATAAATGGGGACAGGGAAGAAATAAACTTTATTGATTATCCTCCAATGCCGACATTTATTGAAAAAAAGAAGTTAGAGAAATTAATTAAATTTGAAGAAGTGAAAAAGGTATATGAAGATAATGTTTAATTGAAATGTAATTAGCATTTGGATTAAATGCAAGGTGAGATATAGAATAAGAATCAAACAGGGATTTTGCAAAATGAAAATTTAAAAAATTAAATACAATTTGAAATTTTAATGAAGAATTAAATGAATTTTGTTAATGGTTAATAATATAAATCGTAAATTGTAATATGAAATTTCACACCTCAAGAGATGCGAAGAACTTTTGACAGGCAAAGTGCAATATGATAGGTGAACTTTGCCTGTCACATACATCTCGACAGAGGCAACATTCGATATGAAACTGTCGAGAAACTTCCTCACACCTCAAGAGATGCGAAGAACTTTTGACAGGCAAAGTGCAATATTGATAGGTGATTGCACTTTGCCTGTCACATACATCTCGACAGAGGCAACATTCGATATGAAAGTTTCCTCTGTCGAGAAACTTCCTCACACCTCAAGAGATGCGAAGAACTTTTGACAGGCAAAGTGCAATATTGATAGGTGATTGCACTTTGCCTGTCACATACATCTCGACAGAGGCAACATTCGATATGAAAGTTTCCTCTGTCGAGAAACTTCCTCACACCTCAAGAGATGCGAAGAACTTTTGACAGGCAAAGTGCAATATTGATAGGTGATTGCACTTTGCCTGTCACATACATCTCGACAGAGGCAACATTCGATATGAAAGTTTCCTCTGTCGAGAAACTTCCTCACACCTCAAGAGATGCGAAGAACTTTTGACAGGCAAAGTGCAATATTGATAGGTGATTGCACTTTGCCTGTCACATACATCTCGACAGAGGCAACATTCGATATGAAAGTTTCCTCTGTCGAGAAACTTCCTCACACCTCAAGAGATGCGAAGAACTTTTGACAGGCAAAGTGCAATATTGATAGGTGATTGCACTTTGCCTGTCACATACATCTCGACAGAGGCAACATTCGATATGAAAGTTTCCTCTGTCGAGAAACTTCCTCACACCTCAAGAGATGCGAAGAACTTTTGACAGGCAAAGTGCAATATTGATAGGTGATTGCACTTTGCCTGTCACATACATCTCGACAGAGGCAACATTCGATATGAAAGTTTCCTCTGTCGAGAAACTTCCTCACACCTCAAGAGATGCGAAGAACTTTTGACAGGCAAAGTGCAATATTGATAGGTGATTGCACTTTGCCTGTCACATACATCTCGACAGAGGCAACATTCGATATGAAAGTTTCCTCTGTCGAGAAACTTCCTCACACCTCAAGAGATGCGAAGAACTTTTGACAGGCAAAGTGCAATATTGATAGGTGATTGCACTTTGCCTGTCACATACATCTCGACAGAGGCAACATTCGATATGAAAGTTTCCTCTGTCGAGAAACTTCCTCACACCTCAAGAGATGCGAAGAACTTTTGACAGGCAAAGTGCAATATTGATAGGTGATTGCACTTTGCCTGTCACATACATCTCGACAGAGGCAACATTCGATATGAAAGTTTCCTCTGTCGAGAAACTTCCTCACACCTCAAGAGATGCGAAGAACTTTTGACAGGCAAAGTGCAATATTGATAGGTGATTGCACTTTGCCTGTCACATACATCTCGACAGAGGCAACATTCGATATGAAAGTTTCCTCTGTCGAGAAACTTCCTCACACCTCAAGAGATGCGAAGAACTTTTGACAGGCAAAGTGCAATATTGATAGGTGATTGCACTTTGCCTGTCACATACATCTCGACAGAGGCAACATTCGATATGAAAGTTTCCTCTGTCGAGAAACTTCCTCACACCTCAAGAGATGCGAAGAACTTTTGACAGGCAAAGTGCAATATTGATAGGTGATTGCACTTTGCCTGTCACATACATCTCGACAGAGGCAACATTCGATATGAAAGTTTCCTCTGTCGAGAAACTTCCTCACACCTCAAGAGATGCGAAGAACTTTTGACAGGCAAAGTGCAATATTGATAGGTGATTGCACTTTGCCTGTCACATACATCTCGACAGAGGCAACATTCGATATGAAAGTTTCCTCTGTCGAGAAACTTCCTCACACCTCAAGAGATGCGAAGAACTTTTGACAGGCAAAGTGCAATATTGATAGGTGATTGCACTTTGCCTGTCACATACATCTCGACAGAGGCAACATTCGATATGAAAGTTTCCTCTGTCGAGAAACTTCCTCACACCTCAAGAGATGCGAAGAACTTTTGACAGGCAAAGTGCAATATTGATAGGTGATTGCACTTTGCCTGTCACATGCATCTCGACAGAGGCAACATTCGATATGAAAGTTTCCTCTGTCGAGAAACTTCCTCACACCTCAAGAGATGCGAAGAACTTTTGACAGGCAAAGTGCAATATTGATAGGTGATTGCACTTTGCCTGTCACATACATCTCGACAGAGGCAACATTCGATATGAAAGTTTCCTCTGTCGAGAAACTTCCTCACACCTCAAGAGATGCGAAGAACTTTTGACAGGCAAAGTGCAATATTGATAGGTGATTGCACTTTGCCTGTCACATACATCTCGACAGAGGCAACATTCGATATGAAAGTTTCCTCTGTCGAGAAACTTCCTCACACCTCAAGAGATGCGAAGAACTTTTGACAGGCAAAGTGCAATATTGATAGGTGATTGCACTTTGCCTGTCACATACATCTCGACAGAGGCAACATTCGATATGAAAGTTTCCTCTGTCGAGAAACTTCCTCACACCTCAAGAGATGCGAAGAACTTTTGACAGGCAAAGTGCAATATTGATAGGTGATTGCACTTTGCCTGTCACATACATCTCGACAGAGGCAACATTCGATATGAAAGTTTCCTCTGTCGAGAAACTTCCTCACACCTCAAGAGATGCGAAGAACTTTTGACAGGCAAAGTGCAATATTGATAGGTGATTGCACTTTGCCTGTCACATACATCTCGACAGAGGCAACATTCGATATGAAAGTTTCCTCTGTCGAGAAACTTCCTCACACCTCAAGAGATGCGAAGAACTTTTGACAGGCAAAGTGCAATATTGATAGGTGATTGCACTTTGCCTGTCACATACATCTCGACAGAGGCAACATTCGATATGAAAGTTTCCTCTGTCGAGAAACTTCCTCACACCTCAAGAGATGCGAAGAACTTTTGACAGGCAAAGTGCAATATTGATAGGTGATTGCACTTTGCCTGTCACATACATCTCGACAGAGGCAACATTCGATATGAAAGTTTCCTCTGTCGAGAAACTTCCTCACACCTCAAGAGATGCGAAGAACTTTTGACAGGCAAAGTGCAATATTGATAGGTGATTGCACTTTGCCTGTCACATACATCTCGACAGAGGCAACATTCGATATGAAAGTTTCCTCTGTCGAGAAACTTCCTCACACCTCAAGAGATGCGAAGAACTTTTGACAGGCAAAGTGCAATATTGATAGGTGATTGCACTTTGCCTGTCACATACATCTCGACAGAGGCAACATTCGATATGAAAGTTTCCTCTGTCGAGAAACTTCCTCACACCTCAAGAGATGCGAAGAACTTTTGACAGGCAAAGTGCAATATTGATAGGTGATTGCACTTTGCCTGTCACATGCATCTCGACAGAGGCAACATTCGATATGAAAGTTTCCTCTGTCGAGAAACTTCCTCACACCTCAAGAGATGCGAAGAACTTTTGACAGGCAAAGTGCAATATTGATAGGTGATTGCACTTTGCCTGTCACATACATCTCGACAGAGGCAACATTCGATATGAAAGTTTCCTCTGTCGAGAAACTTCCTCACACCTCAAGAGATGCGAAGAACTTTTGACAGGCAAAGTGCAATATTGATAGGTGATTGCACTTTGCCTGTCACATACATCTCGACAGAGGCAACATTCGATATGAAAGTTTCCTCTGTCGAGAAACTTCCTCACACCTCAAGAGATGCGAAGAACTTTTGACAGGCAAAGTGCAATATTGATAGGTGATTGCACTTTGCCTGTCACATACATCTCGACAGAGGCAACATTCGATATGAAAGTTTCCTCTGTCGAGAAACTTCCTCACACCTCAAGAGATGCGAAGAACTTTTGACAGGCAAAGTGCAATATTGATAGGTGATTGCACTTTGCCTGTCACATACATCTCGACAGAGGCAACATTCGATATGAAAGTTTCCTCTGTCGAGAAACTTCCTCACACCTCAAGAGATGCGAAGAACTTTGACAGGCAAAGTGCAATATTGATAGGTGATTGCACTTTGCCTGTCACATACATCTCGACAGAGGCAACATTCGATATGAAAGTTTCCTCTGTCGAGAAACTTCCTCACACCTCAAGAGATGCGAAGAACTTTTGACAGGCAAAGTGCAATATTGATAGGTGATTGCACTTTGCCTGTCACATACATCTCGACAGAGGCAACATTCGATATGAAAGTTTCCTCTGTCGAGAAACTTCCTCACACCTCAAGAGATGCGAAGAACTTTTGACAGGCAAAGTGCAATATTGATAGGTGATTGCACTTTGCCTGTCACATACATCTCGACAGAGGCAACATTCGATATGAAAGTTTCCTCTGTCGAGAAACTTCCTCACACCTCAAGAGATGCGAAGAACTTTTGACAGGCAAAGTGCAATATTGATAGGTGATTGCACTTTGCCTGTCACATACATCTCGACAGAGGCAACATTCGATATGAAAGTTTCCTCTGTCGAGAAACTTCCTCACACCTCAAGAGATGCGAAGAACTTTTGACAGGCAAAGTGCAATATTGATAGGTGATTGCACTTTGCCTGTCACATACATCTCGACAGAGGCAACATTCGATATGAAAGTTTCCTCTGTATAGAAATTCTTCTCATCTCAAATTTTTATGATTAAATTATCCCAATCATATCCCAATAATTTGATAAACATATTACAAATATATAAAACACTAAAATATCTTTATATATCCTTTCTTTTCTGATTATTCTTTATTAATTTTATTCATCTTTTGGCAAAATCTCAAAATTGAGGCGCAACATATATCGGATCATGCACCACTCATGGTACAAACTCAACTACGCATCTTTCGTTTTTTTGCATGTTTTTCGTCTCAAAGCATGGTCAATAGACCGTTTCAAAGACGAAAAACATGCAAAATGTGGATGCCCTCTCATAATGACATATGGAAGATATGGGAGAGAAAACACCATATGGTGTTGCATAAATACTATATATTGAAAAAGATATAAACTAAATTTTATTAAAATCATAATAAATATGTGTTTACTTAATGTGATAGATGTACCTAGTATAATTATTATTGAATGTACTAAGATATATTTAAATAAAGATATTTTTTGTATATTATATAAGATTGGAATTAGTATTTATGAAGAAATTGCAACAACGCGTTGTGATATGTGTGGATATATGATTTTGAGAGAGAATGATTTTGGATTTTTCATATTTTAATATGGATGTGATTTGATCATATTGATAGTGTTGTATTATAGAGTGTAATTGGGATGGAATTCTTTTTTATTTGTAATACATCTCGAGAGGCAACATTCGATATGAAAGTTTCCTCTGTCGAGAAACTTCCTCACACCTCAAGAGATGCGAAGAACTTTTGACAGGCAAAGTGCAATATTGATAGGTGATTGCACTTTGCCTGTCACATACATCTCGACAGAGGCAACATTCGATATGAAAGTTTCCTCTGTCGAGAAACTTCCTCACACCTCAAGAGATGCGAAGAACTTTTGACAGGCAAAGTGCAATATTGATAGGTGATTGCACTTTGCCTGTCACATACATCTCGACAGAGGCAACATTCGATATGAAAGTTTCCTCTGTCGAGAAACTTCCTCACACCTCAAGAGATGCGAAGAACTTTTGACAGGCAAAGTGCAATATTGATAGGTGATTGCACTTTGCCTGTCACATACATCTCGACAGAGGCAACATTCGATATGAAAGTTTCCTCTGTCGAGAAACTTCCTCACACCTCAAGAGATGCGAAGAACTTTTGACAGGCAAAGTGCAATATTGATAGGTGATTGCACTTTGCCTCTCCAAACTCTCAAATATGCTTCTCACCATACATCAAACGGGCAAATTTCTCCTTAAATTTCTCTTTATTTGAAAGGTTTTCAACAAAGCTATACCTTAAAAATCTGTGCTTGTTATATCTGATCATTTGTGTGTTAGGGGAGGTAAATTTATTCCACTAGAGCAAATTTTTTCCGAGGTTTCTCATCGAATGAGAAACCTCGGAACAACTCTTCAATAGTGTAATGAATTTGTGGTATTTGTCCTGCAAACAGCGAGAGAACTTGTCTGTAATTCGTTTATGATGAAGTTATCTGGATGTCTCTCAGATGAGGAAGGAAGTCCAGAAAACTTCACCATAAGTTAATACTTGTGTATTTCTATGACTCTCTTCACGTCAGAGAATGTAAATTTACTCGAATAGGGCAAAGTTCTGCTCAAGTTTCTCATTTGATGAGAAACCTCGGAAGAACTTTGCCCTAAGGTAATGTATATGTGATTGTTGGCCCGCAGAGAAACAAGGAATCTGTTTGTATTTCGTTTATGGTGAAGTTCTCGGATGTTCTCTCAAATTATATGGAAAATCAAGATAACTTCACCATAATTTGTTGTAGTTGTGATTCTCTGGCTCTTTGCCGGCCAGAAAACTAGAAAATAGTTTATAGTGGGAGTATGCTCGATGAATACCTACTCACTAAAAATATACGTTATTTTTTGTTTTCCTATGGGAAAATAGTTTTGATTTTTATACTATCGTATGCTTTGTTATTGCATGAATTGTCTATTTTCTTAATAAAAACTCATTTTTCCGTGTGATTCTGAATCAATGCATTCCAAAAAAGCGTTTTCCGCCTTTGAAACGTGAAAACACACATTGCATGAAGAATCAGAGAAGATTTTCTATCTTTCAATTTTTTAGACTTATTGAAATTTGATAATAACTCCAAATTAAGCTGATAAACTCATAGAGCACATAAAATAACACATGCCTATCATATTTGAATTTTCTAAAAATCTCCAAAAAAATCGCGTTTTAAAAATTTCGTAGTTAAAAAGTAAATTTTTCACGATAAAAAAATATAATTGGTTTTTTTTGGAATTCTTCGAGTTAGAAAATCTTCTCTGATTCTTCATGCAATGTGTGTTTTCACGTTTCAAAGGCGGAAAACGCTTTTTTGGAATGCATTGATTCAGAATCACACGGAAAAATGAGTTTTTATTAAGAAAATAGACAATTCATGCAATAACAAAGCATACGATAGTATAAAAATCAAAACTATTTTCCCATAGGAAAACAAAAAATAACGTATATTTTTAGTGAGTAGGTATTCATCGAGCATACTCCCACTATAAACTATTTTCTAGTTTTCTGGCCGGCAAAGAGCCAGAGAATCACAACTACAACAAATTATGGTGAAGTTATCTTGATTTTCCATATAATTTGAGAGAACATCCGAGAACTTCACCATAAACGAAATACAAACAGATTCCTTGTTTCTCTGCGGGCCAACAATCACATATACATTACCTTAGGGCAAAGTTCTTCCGAGGTTTCTCATCAAATGAGAAACTTGAGCAGAACTTTGCCCTATTCGAGTAAATTTACATTCTCTGACGTGAAGAGAGTCATAGAAATACACAAGTATTAACTTATGGTGAAGTTTTCTGGACTTCCTTCCTCATCTGAGAGACATCCAGATAACTTCATCATAAACGAATTACAGACAAGTTCTCTCGCTGTTTGCAGGACAAATACCACAAATTCATTACACTATTGAAGAGTTGTTCCGAGGTTTCTCATTCGATGAGAAACCTCGGAAAAAATTTGCTCTAGTGGAATAAATTTACCTCCCCTAACACACAAATGATCAGATATAACAAGCACAGATTTTTAAGGTATAGCTTTGTTGAAAACCTTTCAACGAATGAGAAAGTTAGGAAAAACTCTACCTTATAAGATCAACTATAGAATTCATAGCTCTTTGAATACTAGGAAACATTAATGCAGTAGTTTAAGGCAAAGTTTTTCCGAGATCTACGAAGGATAGAGAGATCTCGGAAGAACTTTGCTCTGCACAAGTAATTTCAGAATCTATGGTCCTCTAAGGACCAGAGGACGGTAATGTAAAAGAATGATGTCAATAGCAGATAAATAATAGCCTTAGAAGTTCAATACGTGCACAGTTTGACTACATTGCCCTAGTAGTTAGACTGTACAGGTATTGTACTTCTGGCCTAAAAAATCCTCATTGAAGACAATAGGTAGAAACTCAAATTGTTGATAAATATCCCAAAATATCATAAGAGAGCCCATTATTGTTACCTGGCTCCTTCCTGGCTTTCAAAGTCTGTAAACGAGAAGTCTTGGCTCTTGTGGTAATTGCTTCCAAGAGGTTTACTCAATTCGAGTAAAACTATAAACCCTGTAACTGACATGTACTTCCTTGAATGGGCATTAAAAGTAATTTAACCTAACGAATAGTAACATGACTCTCGTAAACGAAAAAGAGAATTTGACGCAGTCAAATCCTCTCTCTCAAAAAGTGGACTTTACATGGCAAATTTCAAATGCATGTAAGGTCCAATTTGATCAGTTTCAGGATGGAATTGGAGGCCATGAGGTACTGACATTGCATCAGTATCTCATAGCCTCCAATCCCTTCAAAAAATGGGAGAAACTTTGGTCGAATAATTTAACATTCGGCCAAAGTTTCTCCCATAATTAATGAGAATGAAAGGGTAAGAGGCATATAGGGTCACTATATACCTCTTACCCTTTCATTTTCATTTGGAGGTCAACAAACCCGGAGTTAATTGCAAACAATTAACTCCAAATTTGTTTATGTTAAGGAAGGAATTGGAGGGTAAGAGGTACATAGTATGAATATGTACCTCTTACCCTGCAATTCCTTCTAGAAAGTTCCAAAACTTTGGGTTAATTGCAAACTATTAACCCAAAGTTTTGGAACTTTCAAGTGGAGATGGAAGGCTTTGGGGTATATATTAATATAATATACCTCAAAGCCTTCCATCTCCACTACAAATGAGAGAAACTTTGTCCGAATAGTTTAACATTCGGACAAAGTTTCTCCCATTTTAAGAAGGAATTGGAGGGTAAGAGGTACATAGTATGAATATGTACCTCTTACCCTGCAATTCCTTCTAGAAAGTTCCAAAACTTTGGGTTAATTGCAAACTATTAACCCAAAGTTTTGGAACTTTCAAGTGGAGATGGAAGGCTTTGGGGTATATATTAATATAATATACCTCAAAGCCTTCCATCTCCACTACAAATGGAGAAACTTTGTCCGAATAGT